AATGAGAAGACATCTATTAAGGAACACTGAAAAAAAGAAAAGCATTTTAAATTTTTTTTAAATGTCACTACTAAGTCTTCAGGGATACCATCTTTGACACTTATGAATAGTGGACATTTTCAGCATCGTTCTGCCCTGAGCAAATCCTGTTCCATACTGTAAACAGACTGTTTGTTTGTGCTCTAAGTATAGATTTGTTCTCAGTTCAAAGCAGCCATGGGATGTGTGTGTTTTTACAGATTTATTAGTAGCTAAATAAGGGAGACACTCGACATCATGTGGGAATACAGAAATGAGAATCAGGTTTCACTCAGTGAAACCAACCAAAAAGTTGAAAGATGTCGATTTTCGAGGCGACAAAACCCACTTAGTCCTCAGTCTCAGCAGGTACTGTGCACCTGCACTCCGCTTAATGCAACTTGAGGGGTTCAGCCCATTACATGAGCCTCCCTTAAATCAATACATAATGCTTCTCTGCAGGTTTAATGCCTAAATGTGATGGCAAGACAATGATCCGTCTGTAACGCTGGTGTTCACCGGTATTAGTCGAGTTCGGATTTGACCCAAAGAGATTTTTTACATCTCGCTGTTCTGTATGTTCAGAACTATGGAGTCATTTTCTATCTTCAACAGGAGCATGGTCTTTTAATTCGCGAGCATTATTTCTTCATTGTGCATTGAGATTTTGTCATGCTCGCCCTTAAAACCCTGTGCCGTCTCTCAATTAAGCCCCTGCTTGGGTGCAAATCTGCTCTGCTCAAAGCTGTTTGTCTGCACTCAGACGTACTGCCTGCTTGTGCAAATGTCCTGCACTTCAGTCTGAGAGCGTCTCCTTGTGCTCGCTGCTTCTGTGCACTCGAAAAAACTTCAGCCCTCAGATTTGTGATTGCACGCACGGATCTGTGTGAAACAACCCTGTCAAAAGTCCCCAAGCAAAAGCAGGTCAGCTGTGACGTCGACCGATGAAATCCTCGCTGCCTCCTCACAGCATCACGAATGAACGGTTAGTGTGTCACCAGGCTCATATACTACAGGAGATTAGGAGTTAATGCATTGTCTGTGTCCACCCTGACATAATCAACAGTGCCTGTATTTGC